ATCATCAGAATAACTTCATCAGGATCCAGATCAGACACAGCTTTATTTTTTTCTAGAAGAATACGGTATCCAGTGCTTTCTATTTTATTTATTTGATAGCAGACCAAGCAGTCCTGAGACAAGATTTTGAGTTTTAAAGTACAGCTAGCACAGCAGCTACATCTGCTTCTCTCACTCCACCAATGTGTCTCAGATGTCACCTACAGAAACAACCTCCAAAGAGAGGAGTACTTAGTGCTTGGTCCCTTTCCTGAGGTTATCAATACAGGCACCAACTATACCATTTACTTTACCTCTGTGGAGAGGGGTAAGCTGGACTGATTGAACTCTTAAACATCATAGAATCATAGAATGGTTTGGGTTGGAACAGAACTTCAGAGATTGTCTAGTTCCAACCCCTCTGCCATGGGTAGGGAACTTTCCACAGACCAGGGCCCTATGCAAAAACTTCCCCCAGTACACACACTTTCTGCATCCCAAATCCTGGTATAACTTTTGATTGCCACTCCTGCTCAGGTGAGAGCAGCTCAAAGTTACTTTGTTCTCCCTGAGGACTTTTTATTGCTGCTGGGTCCATGAGTGCAAAGGAATGCCCTAGTCATTCCTCTCTCCCAGGCATAAACTTGTGCTAACCTAAAGTCACTGTAGCTGCTTTCTGACAGACAAAATTTTCTGTATAGGAGTCCTCAGGGGGTAGACCCAATAGATTTAAAATGCTTCTGAGAAACGTTTAAGATGTATTTTGTGTATATATGAAGAGCAGAGAACTGAGATCCATTACATAAGAAGTGCAGGAAGAGTTGCTTTCCAAAGGGCCAAAACCTCACACAATGGGATATGGTTGCAGGGAAATCCAGGGGAACCATGTCCATGAATCCTTCTGCTCAAGCTTTGGAGCAAAAAGAGAGTTCTTTTTTGATACTTCAATATCAGGATGAGGACTAATTATCCAGGATGAGGACTCTCTGTATGGATTTTGCTGGTTTTTTGATGAAAATTTATGTATAAATATCACAAGTTGGGGGGTCTTCTCCACACACCAAAACTCTATGAGTTTAGAAATTGCATGAATTGAAGCATTTTGACAAATGTATAAGAAGGACAAGAATACATCAAATATGACAGAATATTAGTCTCTGATGTGTTGTATCACTTCTTTCTCCTATTTTCTGTCTAACTTACAGACAAGACACAGCTAAATGAAGTAATGTTTTCCAAAGAACAGGAGAGATGGGGCTAGGATTCAGGGGGATCCTCCTAACAGGAGGAATATCATCTGTCAAGCCAATCTAAAATAACAGTGAAAATGGAAATCAACACTCCACAAGCAATTTTTCCTATGATGAGCGTGTTTATTTTCACATTTCACATTTGTTCACGCACAGTTACCTAAAGCTCTGGCACAACAACTGCAGGCAGGGCATTATCTATGATAGACTGTTGGATTTCAATGTTCATTTCTCTCATTGATTGACTAAATTTTGGCTGCAATATCCTTCTGGACATGTTTCAAGACCTGTTTGTTTTCAATGGTTTTGGCAGATGGCTGTATAAACTCCAAGTCCCATGATTATGATTCATTTCTGTGTGAATAATTTTGGTTATCAAGTTTGATTATATCTCTATGTGTTTTTACAATATTCACATGTACACTGAGTGCATTCAGAGCCAGAGCTGTGCTTATCCAAATACCTTTTTTTGTGCTAAAGAGCAAAAAACTACAGATTAACATTTTCATTTTTTGCATATTTAATATTTTGCTTCTTTTTTTAATGGCTATTATATTCTTCTTCAGTTATACATCATGGTTGCTTTATTTTAGTTAAGTATTTAAATATTTCCTATTTTTTCCCAGAAATTCTTGTTTAGCTATTGCTTCATTTTGCTTTTTCAGGTCTGGCATTTCATATAATAATGCATGATAAGTTAAGAAGTACTCATAAATTAATTCATCCTCAAAACCATGCTGCAATTAAACAATACCTGAGAAGCACAAAAGCATAAATATTTTGCTTTGGGAATGTCCACCTAAAAAATTACATGAAAGCAGCTGATGTTCCCTTCTTAGCCCTCTCAGAAAACACTGGGGTGTAACTCTATCTTGCACTTGAAATGCTTGTATTCACCCACACCTTGACTTCCCACAGCAGCACTTTCTAGTTAGCTTGAAGTGTTGGGAAAGATCCACAGGGATGAGTGTTTTACCAGACCGTGGTCTAGTGAGACACAGCAAGTTTAAAGTATCCTTCATGGGCCCCTGAGTCACATCAGTTTTCCTGCTCGTTCCCCTTTCTTGTAAAACTGTTCTGTGTTTTCAACATTTCCTGGTAATGAGCATTTTGGAAAAGACAGTTTTTCATCCCTTTGTCTTTGCTTCCTACTAACTGACCTCCTTCATGTCCAAGGTTTGGACTCTGATGCAATTTGCAGTCATCTTGGAAAGGGCAGAAAAAGCAGTGTTTGCACAAGAAGGGGCATCCATGCATCCATGCAGAAACTACCCACAGCCCCGCTGCTCCAGGAATTCAGGATGGGAATCAAGGCAGTGACTACTTTTTATGCCAGTCATGACTGAATTGGTGACCTACTGTGAGAATAAAAACCCTTTGGAGCCTCTCTGATTACTTGTATACCCCCATTCCCCTTCCTGTGGAAACAGAAATATCAGACATGCCATTACAGTCAGATTCCTCTTTGGGTGATTACCTTCCTTCCCAAATGCCCGATTCGTTATGGAATACTTGTTAATTTCTGTGGAGAATGATTTCATTCTATCATGCAAGCTTCAGTCCTTCTAAGTAATACTATTGCACCAGGCTGGACGGGACTGAACTGGAAAGGGTTGTTGGTCTAGTCAGGCATGATAGGACGGGAGAACACTTTTGAGCAAACAGAGGACATAATTTGAAATCTTCTCTTTCCAGTGTCACACAGCAGGACTGATGGGCCAGTTCAAGAAGGACATGAACACTCACAGACTCTCCCATCTGAGAGATGGGGTTCAGTGCTACACACTGCAGCTGTCTGCAGGCAGACCTGCCCAGCTGCCTCGGTGGCAGTGAGGCTTGACTCTGCTTTGGTGGAGATGGAAAACAGCAAGTCAGGGCCAGCCACACATGACTTTTCTATTTTAGCTCTTCTTGGCATTTTCTGTTCATCAGGTGTGGTGTACAACCAGCACATTAGTCTGATGAACACAATAAAATTCTGCTGGGGCCTGTTGAGTTAATCTGTCTGTAAAACAGGAGGAGATGGCTGAAGGTCTGAAATCCAGGCTGCAGCCACGGCATTCAGCTCTCGCAAGGTGTGAGGGCAGGCTGCTACACGAAAGGATATATGTGAGAGGTTTTATCTGAGCAACTCAGACACAGATGTCCATGTTCCTTTCTATCCTGGTCTGTTGTAATGCAATCTTCAAATAACAGTTTTAAAAGGAAAGCCATCTGTATGTAAGTTTGGGCTGACAGAAGAACTTCATGAAAAATTCAATCTGGATTGAGGAGGACAGGAACTATGCATAGGAAAAACATTTTTCCCCTCAGATTTATTAGTTTATAATATAAGTTACCCTGCAAGAAGCAACTTACAAGCATTGGCAAAGATTCAATTGCTTTCTTATATATCCCCCAAAGCCCTACTTGAAAAAAACAAAACAAAACAAAACACAATCCTTTAGTGGAGATAAGTCTTACAAAGTTTTAAGGATGCCCTAATATTTTTAAAGGTTGAACTTCAAAATTAAGGCTCTAAGGTAAAATAGTAAGATCTTTGTTAATTACAGAAAATCACAGGAAGAATATCCATCAGACTTTGACTTTTGTTCATGATTTCATTAATCTTCACTCTTCTCTAACTATATTATCCAAAGCAGGCTTTCTCCATACTAGGCCTGGGGAGAATATTCCCAAAGAGGGCAAGGTTGTGTCTAGAGAGAAAACTTGCCTGTTGAAGAAAGGGAAGCATGGGGGAATTATGGGCATGTGTATGTGTTTGTGAGCATGTGGAGATGAGATTTACACCTGTGTTCAGGAGATCTTCAGCCAGAGGAATGGAGTTTTCCTAACTCCTGCTTTTCATGGATCATGACAGTTCCAATTCCCTTGGTTTGGCCCAAGTTCAAGAAAAGAAAAAAAGTAAAAAGGGTTGCAGTGCCTCAGCAACCCCTCAAAGAGATTATATGAAAGTAAGAGAGATAGGACATCTCTGTTTTTCCTGGAGAACTTTCAGCAAAGCTCAAATTTTGATGAGGCATGAGTAGAGATGCAGCAAAAAAGGTTGGTAGCTACAAGAAAGGATTACAAAGTAGTAAATGGAGAGGGGGAAAGCCACAAAAGAAGCAAGGTGATGAGGTTAAATCTGGGAAAATGAACTAGTTGTGTGACTGGGGAAATGGGACTGAGGACATGGGAGAGGGTTGAGGGATGTCAGAGAAACAAGAGTCATAATGCATAGCGATAGGGAAAGCAGAGAGAAGTGAGACATCAGGGAGGCGAAGAAGAGAAAAAGTCCATAAATTTGGAGTTGAAAGACTGTCAAAGCGAAAAGATACGCGTTTTCAAGACAAGTCTAAGTGAACGTCAGGGCCAGGAAGCAGGTGGCTGTTTATGTGTACTTTTTTCTTCCCAAACCTACCAGTAAGCCTGTTTTTAGTTAAAACAGAAACATAAGGCTCTGTAATACATTCATGGTGGCCTTCTCTTAAATGAGCACATCCATCACTGTCCTGCCACAATGCTAAATTTCTCTGAAACCCTCTTATGGTGGTTAATTGCTAACTTGGATCTTGCTACTGATATACTCCTATGACAAAGGTCACATTCCTAACAACAAAAGTAAAGAAAGGAAGGTAGTAACATGGTGTTAGTGATGTGGTTGAATTTTACTTTTGTTTTACAGTTTAGGGTTTATTCTAGCTATCAGGCCTTTTCTAGTCAAAACAAAACAAGAATTCTCCCCCTGCTTTTCAGGGGGAGTGTTAAAATTGATTATCTCAATGCATTCTAGCTGCCTGTACATAAATATCCTTTCTGACTGCTTGCTTGTGATGGAAACTGTTCGTTGTGTTTTGCAGGTACTTCTGAACCTTCAGCTTCTTCTCGTTCTCTCCTTGGCTCTGATTTCTCTTCCATTCTCTTATGAGACTTGCTTTTTCTCAAATGCAATCTTTCTCTTTCTCGTCTCTCCTTCACGCCTTCAGGTTGCTAAAAGGCAGGGAAGAAACAGCTGGGAATTAAAAGTGACTCCTACATGAATAAAAAAAAGCAAGCTCATTATTTTATTTGATTAGTAATGTATAACCTGCCTCAGCATGATCAGGTCTACCATGATGGGCTCAAATTCAAGGCTCAAGCCAGTCACCCCAAAACTCAGCAAGAAGCAGCAAACATGCCTTGATTGTACTCTGTGTATGATAGAAGGGTCACCTGCCCAGCAGGCTTGAGTATGGGAGGGAAAAACAGACAGGCTCCAAGATTTCAGCCCAGACTCCACATTTCTGTCCTTTCACATGATCCATCTTTACGTGCCTGAAGGCTGTTCAGTACTAGCCACATAGGCCTCACTGAAAACAAGTGCTGAAGGTCATGAAGTATTCTCAAAGACACGTTTTTAAGAGAAAAGCAATATGCAGGGAAGGAGATGAATTACCTTTCCCACACTTTTCTTTCACCTGTGTCATCATGGTGGTTTGAATTGCACCCACAGAGCTCTGAATGCAAAAAAATGCTCCATTTGGAGACACAGGTTTAACCTCAAATTTCTTTTCAAATCTCTAACACCTCTTGCTCAGTTCTCTGAGATCCTCAAGTCCTTCACATCTCTCAAATGTCAATGGCGATTGAGGAAATGACAACAACCTGGTCTACTTGAAAGACAGATTAAAATACAGCTCAGCACACGCCACTGTGGATTACAGAAGGGTACAGGAATGCATGTTTTATCTGGAACTGATGTCATATTTAATACATTATACTCACTATACCCATCATACAATTATTACACACTCACCGACTTTCTAGCCATAGGCATTTTTGAGAAATTAGAAATGATAAACCAGACAACCACTAGTGAGCATTGGTACATGAGGCAATGTGAATTCCAAAATGAAATAAATTGAGTAGTTCCTAAAGGGGAAAAATAAGATTAGAGAATACACTTAAAATCTTGACAATGGCATAACAGTGCTGTCATCACCATAATTCTACATATTCTTAGAAGACTGGTCATCAAGGACCATAATTGTTGAACTGATCACGGAATAATGATACTTATTGAAAAGAGATTTTTTTTTTCTCTCTTTTGGTACACAGAAGGTCTGCAAAGAGAGATGAAAAATACTTTTCCATTCAAACTGTCAGTGTCAACAAACTGGAAAAAAAAAAGATACTTCCTTCTATGGCTATCTGGTGATAATGTCAAGTGTTATTCAAGCACAGCTTTTTGAATGGGGTGACAATTTGATAGCATTCTGGTATGTAAAAATGAGTTAGGATTTATTACTCTTCCTTCCATTGTATGATACATCAGATATTATGTATCATAATTACATAAATGTGTTAAAGTGTCATAGACAAAATGTTGTTATTGGCTACTTCCTCAACACAAACCATACAAAAAATGGTCTTGTCTCAGGACAGAATGATGGGGAAAAGAATGAAATGGGGGGAGAATCCCCTGCTGCCAGCATGCCCTTACAGTGAAATTATGTTCAGCCACTTATAGCAATAGCTGCTGCTGTAGCAGTGTGGTGACACTGCAGAAAGCAGATGAATGGAGTCCTCAGGGGTAAAAGAGAAGCCTCTCAAACACTGCAGTGTCTGACAGTCTTACAGATAATACCATATAGGTTAAACCAGGTCAGCAGCAGTGAGAAAGTGAGCTGGGTCTCATGGCAAAAGTGAAGCAAACCTGGTTTTATATTGTCATGTTTTGTTGTCACAGCCACAGAAACCTCTGAAAATATTGCCACAGCCAGTGCAGTACCTCATTTTGAGGATAAATGTTTCTGAATAAGCCTAGAAGGCAACACTTCATCAAGAATCCTCACACTATTGATATAACTTTAACCTTGTTTGTGCTGCTGTAGTAATTTGAGACAACATAATATGAGAAATTCTAGTTCAAGTTAATTTCTGCACTTTCTCCAGCAAAGTCACAGCTTTTACACAAAGGATAAAGCTGGCTCACTTGTTGGCTGATTGGGCTTTTTCTTAGGTAGTGATATTAAGTTGGTTGTAACCTACCAAAGAAACTGAGCGCTTGCTTTTGAGATGCAATTGCTTTTCAAAGGACTCTGCAAACTCCTGAATGGAATTTGATCTTGTGTCCGGGCCTGAGCTGTCTGCTGAAGCTGTTCTGCTTGCCTTCCTGTGGCAGTGGCATTTGACATCTTGGTCTTCTTGAAATTCTTTGGAGCCCTTGAGATGGCCTGAAGATGAGCCTTTGGCAGAATCATGAAGTCGTGTTGCATGGAGGGAGGAAAGCTTGGCCTGAAAAACAAAAGGTCTTTGTTGAGTACTAAATATTAAAGCAAAGCACACAAAGTAGATTATTTTTCTGCCACAGAGACTCTCCCAATGGTGGTGCAGAGTGAAGGACCATGCCCAGAATCCTGTGTCTTTCCTCTTACGTGCAGTAGAATCACACTGTCAAGAACTTGCTTTTCTGGAGGCAGCAGCTGCAGAATTTCCTATTATTCCTGGTTTTGAGTACCTAAGCTTTGGCACCCAAATGAGCTTTTCAAATGTAAAGTTGCTGGGTCCTCTTAGAGTTCACTGGCACTAAAAGGAACTGGAACTGGAACCTCAAAAACTCAGGCCTTGATCTGGCTGCAGTTTCTGGGCAGGACCCTCAAAAATCAAAGACCAAGCCTTTTGTGGAAAGAGGACTCAGATACAGGGCTTGACCCATGGGTGCTCCAAGCTTTATCAGATGTTTGAATTAATTTGTGTGACAGCAACCATTTCTAGCCCAGTTCTGTGAAATTTCAGCTTGCAGACATGAAGGTTTATTGCCCAGCTTTTAATTTTCTGCTGGTTTCTTGGGCACATTTGTCGTGAACTGATGAGGGAGCACTTTCAGGGCACTGAGGGACACATCTCTGCCAGAGAAGTGGTAGAAAACAGACTTCCTACAATTACATTTGTAGGGCTGATGTGGGGAGAGAATAGGTAGTTGTTTAGTTTCTTTGTGATTCCGTTTTCCCAGGCCTGACATGCAGATAAAAGTTATTGATCTGCATCAGCTGTGTTTAATTGAATGCCTGTAAAAGAGATTAAACTGATACAGAACTGCTGTGTCCTGCAGAGTCATCTATTGGTGGTTTTAGAAACAGACAGACCTGTAGACGAGATGGGTGAGAAGGACACTACAGAGAGCCAGGGGTGCCCCAAACCCTGCCGGCTGCTGCTGCTTTTTCAGGATGAGTAGCTGAACACTGGTAAGATGCAGGTGGTGAAAACTCAGAGACAGGAGGTACTGAAAATGACACCCTTGCAGGTGTCAGGTGAGGGCACTCCAGGCATCCAACTGCTGCATACATGTTTGAATGGGTATATGTTTTGGACATTATGAGGAATTTCTTCACAGGCAGGATGTCATTGGAAAGGACTGCCCATGGAGGTGGTGGAGTCACCATGACTGGAGGTGTTTAAGGAAACACTGGATGTGGCACTTAGTGCCATGGTCTAGTTGGCATGGCACTATCAATCAAACATGGCACATGTTCAATCAAAGGTGGGATTTGATGATCTCAGGGGTCTTTTCCAACCTAATTGATTCTGTGATTCTATGTTTTGTATAAGCCTGATGCTAAGTCTTCAACTACAAATTAACCTGGAGAAGCTCTGCTGCCTTCAAGGGAGCTGTGATTGTTTCAAACAACTGAAGTTCTATTCTACAGATTCTGAAATGCTTTCTAAGAAAATCCAGTAGAAAATCCTACACTCAGAGTAGGGTTTGTTGGGGAGGAGTGTGTGTGTACTGTTTGTTTTGGTTGATTAACAAATGGAGGAAAGTTTAATCAAATTGGTATAGTTGCCACCTGAAATATGTCCTGTACACAATTTCATTTACTCTGGCCCAGATGCCATTATATATATAAATATATATATAATATATATATTGTATAAACACAACAGGGACCTATGCAGCCTTTCTCTAAATAGTGAGGCTCTGCCTTCATGTGGTTGTGGTTATATCGCATTAGACAGGCTTGATGAGAGATGCTAAAAATAATAAATCTCACACCTGACAGAAGTACATAATAGTGAAGAGTTTTCCAAATGTATGGTACTAGTTCAATTTTTTTTTGCCAGACATAAGCTTACTATGTCCAGTATTATGGACTGCCTCTGAGAGTAGTGTTAATGATTTCTGCCACACTATTTTTACTTTGGTTTCAAACCAATCGATACAGCTGTAAGTTCTGTAAGGTCATATTGTATTGTTACTTTAAAAAGCATGAAAGCAATCACATTGTGCTAGAGGGATAGGAGCACACATGCCATGCCAAACTCAACAAGCTAAATGTCTTCTGTGTCATCAACATATATTGTTTCCTGGAAATAAAAAGTGTCTCACAGTAAAAATCGCTGGTTGTTCTTAGAGGGTTTTGGGTGAAAAAAATCCACAGGAGGACAGCTGAAATGGGGATTGTATTCTATCAATCCTGTTTTGCAAAGTTAGCAAATGTTTTCTTTTACTAGGACATTGCTTTTTAATTTCCCTTCACAGAGGGAATTATAATTAAGCCCCTAAAGAAAGACTACAGTTTAGTTATTGACATGACAGCAATGGTCCAGAAAAGGGACAGGCTTTCCTCTGAAATGCCCATCTGCCTCAGTGGACTAAGGGTAAATACCTGTGCAACCATATTACTGTGACTGTGCCTTCTCTCACAGTGCCTTTTCACGATACATACCACCATACCTAGGACAGTGTGCTAAGGCATGTCAGCATATTGCTGACTTGTGGACACAGCCCTACAGAAGAGAAGAGCCTCACCATAACTCCTCAAGCATGAACATTTCATGGCTTATATCTAGCACAGGACATTAGTCTTCTTTTATTTAATATTGACTGTGAAAAACTGAGAGTCATAAAATGAAGTTCAGAGATGAAGCAGATCTGGCACTCACTGTAGATGAAATCCAAGTGTCTTTCTTCCTATTTCATAGATTTAATATATGCATTAATACATGTGTTTAATGCCAAATTGATTGCTTGGTAACACTGTAAATAAGAATGGATGAAGACTGCTTTAATCTATGCTTTCCCCTCCTGAAGTCTCAGCAGCTGCTGCCAACAGAGGTTGCCTCTGTATCTGCACTCCTGGGTGTGCACCCACTGCTGCAGTCGTCCCTTGACAAAGTTCTCTGAGCACAGTCCCAGCATCAGCTCCTGTCCTTGGCCCAGCAGCTGCCTCACGCCTACATCTGGTACCTCTTTAGTGAACTCACCTTGGTCTCTGCCTCTCAAGATCTGACCTCAAGTAGTTCTTAAACTAGAGAAGTGGAGAGGAAGTGAAACAAGGGAAAAGACATGAGAAGGAAGAATGTTAAATGCTCCAGGTATCAAAATGGGGATTTTTTGCCAGCTCTGGGAAATCCAGAAGCACCAAAGGATCTCAATGATTGTTTCTCACTCCCTTTAGTACTCTTTTTTTCTGCCTTTGGGTAAAGGCCAGTCATGCTCAGCGTATCTATTCACAAAACAGTTAATCTGCTAATTGCCCATCTAAAACATACAAAAAGTACCCAAACAAAAATACTTCAAGAAATTGGTGTCAATACAATTTGCCTAATCTCTTTCTTAATTTCTATTGTAGACAAGCTGATTGCTTGCATCTTTTGCAAGCACTTGATCTGAGTGCTTGCACAGCTGTCAGTAAGAAAATTAGTCTTCAGTGTGTCAGCACTAGTGTTCTGTTTGCTGAAGTTTAACCAATGACTCCAGTATTTTAGGGATATTTTGGAATATTGGACATTTGGCTGCTGTCCCATGGCTTCCTTTCCTTCTGAAAAGCTTATAAACAAGCACATATTCCTTAAAAAATGTTTTGGTCTGGGATCCGACTGATCTCTAGTGACAATATGGTGGTAAATGTTCAGTCTGACTTCAGTGTAATTTAAATGTTAGTAACTTCAACAGCAGTCAGTCATTCTACTCCCACTCTCAGTTGCTATCATCAGATTTTCTCCTGTGAGCAGCAAAACCTATTTGAAGGCTGATACATGTATAGGTTGTAAAACTCTCATCAGCGCCCCTTTGCCCCCTATCTTTTCCCCACAACAAAATGTCTAGGAGGTAAGAACTGTCCTGAACCAAAATGGTGCAGAATAACTAGAATGTATCAAGGAAAGTCATAGCTGGAGGCTTCAAAAAGAGTATCACAGTTAATTTGCCTAAAGTTTGCCAGGGGAACAAGCTAAATAGAGGAGATGTAAACAGGTGGCAGTTCTCCCCAGGCAGTTTTCACGTTCACTGTTGGCCCACAGCATCATATACAACTCTGATTCTTTTCAGGAGAGTGGTATGTTTTTGCCTGACTTGCCTGTGACCCAGGGAAGGATAAATATAATTTTATGTTTCCCTCTGCAAAATGTGAATGACAATAGCAAAAATTAATTTTGTGAAGCTCATCTCACTAATGTTTGTGAGGTACACCAAGATGTTGGGAAAAAAAACAATGAAAACTGTTAGTTTGTGAGTTATTCTACAAAGCTTTATGCTTATTTTTGGAGGGGGCTGTACCATGATAGGATGCCACAGAAGTTTATTATTGTGTTTGAGGTGAGAGCAGTGGCTTGAATGTCTTACTACAGCACAGGAAATACCACAAAGACCAACACACCAATTTGGAGCTGAAAGTGATTTCCAGCTTTATATAAAACCACCTTTTGTGCTACAACATGAGCATTTTGCTATGTAATACCCAAACACTCCTGGTGCAGCTGCAGTCCCTGTGGGCAGGGCTGCACTATTGCTGATGCACTGCATATCAGCCTTGGATACAAGAAAAAGCATGCTGGCAGTGCTGTTTTGGCAGTACCATTGTATCTGCACAAGGAACTTTTGTCAACAGCTGTGTCAGAACCTGCTGACTTGATTTTCACCTGGACAGTGGAGTTACTTCAAAATAAGATGTTGAGACAGACAAAAGGGCACACTGTCATCTGCTGTGAAGGTCTTAATTTACAGAAGAAATGCTGTCTAATCTCAGTTATTATTCCTCTTGGCTAATTGCACAGTTCTGATAAAATGAAGACAATATTTAAATAACAGTACAAGTGTTTTGAATCTTACAGTAGTTAACATTTGTAATAATGAATCTTACAGTCGTTATAATTTGTAGTAACTGTAAAAAACACATGGCCAGGTGCAATAGCAAGTTGTTGCTCTCAATCACCAGATGCTCTTTCTGAAGGTATTTCTCAGGCATCATTAGTGATTTAATTTCTAGCTTTAGTTAAAGGCAACATGTTTTAGTGCTATTTACCACCAAATCAAAAGTTTCATCTTGGACTTTATCCCCAAATCATAAAATCACCAAACAAATCTTCCCTTCTCATTCCTCTAGTCAACTTCTGACTCTGAGAAATAAAGCAGTTAAAATTTATATCTTATACATAAAACTAGGAGAGCAAGACAAATTTCTGTGAAGCATTAATGAAAAAGCCAGACATATACGTGTACATGATAATTGTACCTTGTTGAACAACAATGTCAAAAAATCACAGTCTTTCTGTCAGCTAACTTAATCCAAATTCAAGGTATGGATTTAGGGATGCAACTACAGCAAAGTATTTGAATAGCTATTAATTAAATATTTAAATAGCTTTTGAACAAACAATATAGGAACATGCTTCAAACTAAATGTCAGTGCACACACTAATGCAGACACAATGTACAAGAATATACAATGAGATGTGTTCAGCACGGTGCTGAATGGAAAGTGATTTAAAGTTCATTCTTACACTTCAGTCTGTATTGAGGTCTATAGAAATCATATATGAATAGATCTCTGAAGAAAAAAAATAATATACAGTAAAATTAATTAACCACCCCCAACACCAACAGATATTATGTTTCCAGCATTCTGATGGAATACACCAGCAAAGCTCTAGTTCAGAGTCTGTTTTGCAATCTGTGGCAAAGGTGAAATATCACAGTAAATAACAAATGTGGCTCATCAGACCAGACATTAAGACTGAAGGTTACCTCTGCAGCATGTCCATGAATTTAAAGAGGGAGAAGGTGGTTTTGGACTCTTTTAGTTTCTTAGCCAATTTTTTTGAACATGAAAAATCCCATAGCTTAAAACATGGGAAAAATGTTCCAGTGGAGAACTTGCAAGATGAAAACATAACATGGCATAAAAAAAAAAAGTTTGGAAAAGATTAGCTGTTTCTCCTCCATATATTAGCATTTGCTTTGTTGCAGCCAAAATGATCGAAGGATATAAGTATAAAATGGCTTTAAGGAAACACAGTATCTTTGTTTAGCCAACTGATGTAGTTGGGAAAAAACAGACAGGTTTGCACCACCTAAATATTCTTCTAAGAGCTGAAATAAAAGCAACAGTTTTTGAGCAAAAAGAAGAATGTGAAAGCTGTTTTCAGTTTAACTTAATTTTCAACACCAGACAGTTGTGAGCCGCCTTAAAAACCTACTTCTGCACATGAATCTTGCCCCTTTCCAAACTGTTTTGTTAGTTTAAGAACCAAGACTATACTTCTACCTTAAAATCTTACTTCACAGTTTAATAAGCTTTGTTATGTATTGTATCCTTGTTTTCAGAGTCAGATTTTTAAATCAGAAGAGACCAGATTTTTAAATTAGAAGTTGCACCTGCAAACAGCTAAATCCCAGAGAGTAAAACTCCCTGGAGATAGTATAGTTGCAGAATTAGGTCCAAATCCTATTAATACATATGGAGTTACATAGTTTTACATATGAGAACAGACTTGTTAAAGACAGTCTTTATGCATGCCAGTTGCAAAATGTTTTGATCTCTGCCAGGTCATGCTGAGCAGACAGAAAAACACTGTAATGCATAGTTAGGCAGCTATTACATGCTTCTCCTTGTGTTTCTGGTCCTGTCATCATTTGTCTTGGAATTTGCCAGTTTTCCTGTATTCGAAGACACCAGAGGCCTGACCCTGGTTGGCAGCTAAATCCAAAAAGCAACTAGCTGCTGCCAGCAGGAACTGAACTTACTTGGTAAGGTGTACCATACGTATCCTGATGCATTTCTAGGGCCATGCTCCTGGGGATGGAACTTATATTTATGCATAAACCACATGCACACACAGAGAAAACTGCACACAGCTCTTACCGGTAGGGATGCTCTCCTCTCATTACAGAATCGTGTCTGACGTTTCTTGTGGCCTCTACCCTCTTTCTCATTCTCATCGATCAAGTTGTGGCCCCAGAAGCTGCTCATCCATTTTGCAAAGAAGATATCATCATCCTCGTCATATTCCATGTACAGATGTTCCAAACTTGGGGGGGTGTCTCCCAACCAGACAAGGAAAAGCAAGGTCAAATTCCACCACCAAGCCAGCAATTTCACACTGTTCTGCCAAGAAGAGGAAGCAGAGATGCAGTTTCAACCACTCTTTCTGCACAGACCCATCCCACTGCAGCCCTGGGCACCGTCTAAACATAAAGTCAATCCTTTCTCATTTCTTTTCAACGAGGTTTCTTTTAACCTTTCCATTGCAGGGCTGTCCAATATGACACTGCCGCAGGGGCTGGTGGGGGAGCGTTGGCTACTCTGTGCTCTGTGTGTGTGGCTGTTGAGTGCACCAGCTGTCAATACCAATGGAGAATTGCCCACAGTTACATGCCTGGGAGGTGCGTACACAAACCCAAAGTAGGCCTGTGATTTTGAGAAGCAGAATCAACATATTGACATTGGTCAGGAACTGGCACGGCTGCTTGCAGAGACATAACTGGCTCTGTGGGAGGGAGCGCAAATGGCCAACTCTTCCCAGGTTTCTCTCCATCCTGACTTCTGTTGCCTCTGCTCTTCCTTCAGTATTTAGGAAATGTGGTCTGTCTAGGTAGAACCAAGCCCCCCTTGAAGGAACCGCTTGTTCATTTTTGGGTTATGACAGACAGTGGAAACTTGTGTCAGCTGCTTTTCACCAGAAGAATTTCATCCACCATACAGGGCTATGGGAGGCACTGCCTCGCTTGAATGCACACAGGGTAAAAATATGTCTGATTCCTCCTCACCACCCCTGGGTGTAACCCACATAGGCCATGTCTAGACCACAAACAGAATAGGGCCAGAGACTGTTTTCTGACCCTGAGACTCAGTTGCTACACTGATCACACGTACCCTACATGGCACTTGTGCTGTGCATCTCCTTGAGGCTGTACGTACTGCACTGTGGTTGTAATATTTTGTTGTAAGTTTTGTGTATTCTTTAAATTATCTGATATAACACAAAAACTCTCTTGTGGCCCATAAAACTGTTGATTGTATGGTATGAAACTGGAAGATGTGTTACATGCCTGGGGACATGGCAGAAGGACAAGGAGGAGGGCTCTAAGGCTGTAGAGCCTGTTGGAGTAGTGTTGGAAGACTGCATAAGAGGAAGAACCCAAATCTAACTTCTTACTGGAAGCAGTCCTTGGTGTGTTCTAGGTGTTCTCCTGGTGCCTAGGCATTGCTGTGGAGATGCTAGTTGGCCTTGGCCAGAAGTATGCTAAAAAGCTGGCTGGTAATTTAGCATTACAGAGGATCAGGGGTCCAGCATTAAACCTTGCCTATTCCACAATCTACTTAGAAATACAGATGTAGTAACAAAAGTCCAGTTTCATTCATGTGGGTGTAGGTAGGAGGTTTAACTACAATGTAGGACTCTTCATTCTAAAAAGTATGGGTAAAGGGACCAATTGGTTATGGATGCCTATGTGCCCAAGTTTCACTTTGTCCGAGGCAGGCAAGACTGTGTAGCACAGGGACCTGGAGTACATGGGTCTCCATGTATGGGAGATAGCATTGGCTCAGATGTGATGTATCAGAGCTTGGACACAATCGAATCTGCAGCAGGCTGCTTTCTTGGCAGAGGCACAGGTGAATAGGAGCAAGGGGAGTACCTGTAGAGCAGTACAATAAAAATATACCTGAAGCAATAAAAAGGATGTGTAGGCTGATTCTTCAGGGGGTGAAGAACACTCCTGGCCATATTCTGACAGCCTGAATTTGACTCACATCCTTGAGGCCGCTCATGTGTTCAGGCAAGATATATTTGAAGGCCTACAGCAGCTTATAGGAAGCATCACGTGGGTGGAATTGAGGCTGTCCCAGTAGGAAGTTATCAACCTGTTGGATACTTGTTTTCTACTTTGTGGTTTGAGTTTCTTCTTTTCTGACATGCAAGACAGAACTGCAGGCTGTTGTATGGAACAGGAAATGCTCCTGCCATGCTGAGACAGGTGACAGGGAGAAGTGGGAGAGAGGTTGTCCCACAGCTTTGTCGAAATATCTTTATGTAAATAGTAATAATCCATAAATTAGAGGATACATCTCAAGCTGTTTACTACCGGGCACTACTGACTCAGAGTGCAGCAGGGCAAATTTTAGTTGGGGTCCTGAAGTATTTGCTTTGCAATCTTCCTGTTGTTTTTATTTTCAGTCCTTTTTTTCTTCAATGCAATATGTTTCTTCACACATATTCCTTCCATTTCCCTTTCACCTGCAATGAAATTTCTAGCCATGAGATGACTAGAGCTTTCTGAGTATAGAAACATATCAAAGATGACTCCTCTTCATCCTCAGCCAAATGGTCCATGGAAATAAGTGGAGACAGAAACATAAGCTTCCTCTGCCTACAGGTAAGGATGCTAAGTGGGCATACACGCAACAAGTACAAAATTCCAGTACTGCACATTGAATTATTTTTATGACAGACTGAATTAATTACCTAAAGATGTCATTTATAATAAGAATTGCTTCAAAATGCTCCAGTACAAAGTCCTAGAAACTTTAATTCAGCCATATTAGCTGAAACTACACAGAATCACAGAAGAACAGAATTACAGACAGGGTCAGGTCAGAAGGGACTACAGCAAATCACCTGGTCCAACCTCCCTGCTCAAGCAGGGTCATCCCAGAGCACGGGGCACAGGATTCTGTCTAGATGGTTCTTGAGTATCTCCAGTGATGGAGACTCCACAACCTCCCTGGGCAACCTGTTCTGGTCATCTGCACACTTCCTCATGTTCAGAAGGAATTTTCTGTGCATCAGTTTCTGCTCTTGCCTCTTGTCCTATCGCTTGGCACCACCAAGAAAAGCCTGGTTTCATCCTCTTGGAAGCCCACTTTTAGATAATTACACAGTTTAATGAGGTCCCCTCTCAGCCGTCTCTTCTCGAGGCTGAACAGACCCAGCTCCCTCAGCCTTTCCTCTTAAGAAAGGTGCTCCAGCCCCTTAATCACCCTCGTTGCCCTCCACTGGATCTTCTCCAGGAGCTCCACGTGTCTCTTGCCCTGAGGAGCCCAGAGCCGGACAGAGCAGTGCAGATGTGGAGCGCACTCCGCATGTGAGCGGCCCAGAACTCCTTCCGCACAACACCAGTCCGGACCCGAGGCCCCTGCAGCGTTTTTTGGGCTGACACTCCCGCCGCTCCCGCCGCGTCCCTGAGCCCCGCGGCCTCCCCGTGTTCCCCTCCGTGGCTGCGCTTGCCCGCCGGGCCGGCAGGGCGGTGCGGGCGGGCGGCGGCGCGGCTCAGCCCGCGCTCCCGGCGCGCCCGCGTGTCCGCTGACCCTCCTCCCGCTGCTCCGCCCGGGCGTCATGGCCGCCTCGAAGCCCGTGGAGCCGGCGGGCGGCGGCGCCCCCGCGGGGCTGTCCCGCTGCAGCTGGCGCTTGGTGCTGGGCGCGCCCATCCTGCTGGGCGCCGGACCATCTACCTGTGGGGCGGCGGGCGGCGCGGCGCGCGAAGGCGCCAGCGAGAGGAAGACCCCCGAGGGCGGGGCGAGCCCCGGGCCCGGCGGCGATGCGGGCTCCGGGCAGCCCGACGGGCCCGGGCACGAGGAGATGGTGAGCGGGGGGCGGCACCGCCGGGGGGCGGCAGGGACCGGGCCTCGCCCGGCGGGCGCGGGGGCCGGGGCCGGGGCCGGGGCTGGGGCGAGTCCCGCCGGCGGCAACGAACGGGGTGCCCGGCTGCGATCTGCGGGAGGGTGGGCCGGGCGGGCCGCTGGAATGGTCCGGGAAGCGGCTCTCGGAGTGCCGGTCCCGGAGGGAGTCGTGTGAGGGGATGAATCTCGGGTGGCATCCTGGTCGTGCTCTGCGTGACACGCCCGGCAGGTCACAGAATCACAGAATGGATCGGGTTGGAAAGGACCACAGTGAGTCGTCTGGTCCAAATTCCCTGCTCAAGCAGGGTCGTGCTAGAGCACATGGCACGGGATTGTGTCCGGACGGTTGTTCTCCACGGAAGGAGACTCCACGCCCTCTCTGGGCAACCTGTTCCAGCACCACGGTCACCCGCACAGTAAAGAAGTTCTTCCTCGTGTTCAGGAGGAACTTCCTGTGCATCAGTTACTGCCGGTTGCCTCTTGTCTTACTGCTCTGCACCACCGAGCAGAGCCTGGCTCTGTCCTCTTTACACCCTCCTTTCAGATATTTATGCACATTAATGAGGTCCCCTCTCAGCTGTCTCGAGGCTGAACAGACTCAGCTCCTTCAGCCTTTCCTTGTAAGAGAGATGTTCCAGTTCCCTCACCCACTGGACCCCTCCAGGGGCTCCGTGTCTCTCTATGGTCGCCCGGTGTGACCCGTAGTTCCAGGTCACAGTTCTGCCCTCACCTCGCAGCAGTCGAGATTAGCTTGTTTCCTGTGTGTTTGTTCCAGTCGTGCTGGGACTGGTGCACGGGAAGGTGCATTGCTGAACGTGGATCTGACAGTGTGCTGCCGAGGGGGAAATGTACCTCTTCTTCTGAGGTGTAGAATAGCTGTCAGTAAGTTGTGTCTGGGAATAGTGTTTTGGAAAGGAAATCTGTGATCTGTTGCCTGTTAGATGCTGGATACAGCAGGAGGGAAAGAAAACAGAATCAAGATCATTTTGAAACGAAACGTGTTCCACAAAGATACAAAAGCCCTACAGTTTAAGTAACAGACTTTAGGAAGAGTTTGCCTAAGTAGACATGCTCTCAAAACATACATTTACCCTGTTGTAATTTACCATTCTGAGAATTTTCAGATATATTGGTCTATACAAAAACTGAAGGACAAGAGGCAATATTGGAATCCACATCAAATTCAAATTCTCTTGCATATCTGTATGTAGAAAAATGCCTCTAAGGTGCACTTTTTGCACATCTGCTGTCACAGAAGTACATTACCAGTCATGCTGCATTACTGAGGTGAGGTGCAGTTTACAAACATGTTTAAAATGATGGATTTGACAAACGGATTAGCTTTGATAAGAAAATCCTGTCTGGCATTTTCTTTTCCCATTCTTGTGCACCACTCAAAACGCTTTGAATTGT